AGAGAGAGAGAGAGAGAGAGAGAGAGAGAGAGAGAAGGATGACGCGGGAAAATGGTCGAAAAGACAGACAGATATATAGATTGTATAAATGACAGAAACAAAGATGCATGAACTGGCAGGTAGACAAAGACAGAAAATAAACAAATAATTATACAGACCGACAGCTGGGCTAAAGTGGAAAAGGTAGCTGACAAATGCATGGAAAATAACTTTAAATAACGATGTAAATTCTGGCTAAAGCTACATTTAAAATGCGTAATTTGACGCCGGCACACAAAAGAGTCAAATCCACAAATAGACATGAGGAAGGAAATCTGTGTAAAAATATAAATTCTCTCATTCCAGTGATTAAGGGGAGATAAACTCACCTGAAGCACCAGAGCCGCTCCTACAACATACAAAGCGACAAATCCCCCCATCCTTCTCAGAATGAGCGCTGGGACAATCTTTAGAACAAGGGTCTCGAACTGTCGCTGTTTCGTCTGCGGCGGGTGTTTGAACCCTGACTCTTTGAGATTAAAGACAAAAAAAACAACAAAAAACGATTTCAATAATAGCAGAGAGTCACAGAAAAATTTGTGTCAAGGTCAAAGGAACGTCTGAAAGTGAAAGCCAGGAGTCCCTTTGGGATGCCGGGAACACAAGGTTGCAAAGTTTGTACTCACACGAAATCACGGACGCTCTACTCTAACGAATTTCACACAGTTCCAGAATATTCCTTTTTATCTACAAAAAAATAAACAACAAACATAAACGCGCTCAGATTTCCACTCTTACAAAGTCCTTGAAAACACTATGTCCGAAAATGTCTTCCTACGGATTATGGGCACTTACAATTGTAGCAATATCCTGAAGGAATCTGTTTTCTCTCAAACTTCTTGAAGGGAGCTTCGCAACTGCGCTGATATCCAAAAGGCCTTTGACTTCAAAACTCCTTGCAATGAAGGATAAACGAAAGTGTCACGTCACCTTTGAGAGACAAGAGCTAAGCGCGGAGCGAGCTTTCTCGTGGTTCGCTGGGCTTCCACTCTACGACTGCGGGGAGACAAGGTGTGCCTCAGACCTCTGATCACGACACTGGCGTGCCTACGTCCAGCGCAGGGGACAGCAATCCTGTTGTCACTTCCGTTCAAACACTGGGATTCAGAGCACGTGATGAGATAAGGGCTCCCTCCTGGTGCCGCTGTCTTGCCAAGACGGGCAAATCTGTCAATTTGGTTGCTGTAAGGAAAGGGAAATACGTTTAAAAAGATATCTTATCTAGAACAGGGTGAATGAATAAATGTCGAGTGTTTGCTTTGTGATTCAAAGAGGCCAGAGACCATGAGATTGAAAAAAAAGAACAACATGTTGGGGCGCTGACTAAACATATTATAACAACGCAATAGTTATCGGGCAGAAAGCGAAAGGTATTACGTTAGGAAACCTGTTATCGCAGAAGGTATGCATGGGGGCTGGATGGAATAGATAAATGTAAGGGAAAAAAACATTCTCTTTGATGGACACAACAGCATGTATTCTCTCTCTCTCTCTCTCTCTCTCTCTCTCTCTCTCTCTC